GCCACAAATTGAAAAACGTTTTGCTAGTCGTACAGCAGGCACCGTCGTCATTTAAACAGTTTGTTTCGCTGCCTTTGCATTTGTCAGCGCATAACAAAGGCAATTACGATGCGGTCGCTGAGTGCGCTCTTTTTGAACACAGTTGTAATTTGTATGCGTGAACCTGAGATTGTGTACGCGCGCGCCATATCTATTTGGTGGCACAAAAGAGCTTTTAGCGCCCTTGTGTTAGTGTTATGTTGCGTTCGCAACGTTTTTTGTTGTTGCGCGCGCGGGAGCACACACACACAATCACCCACAAGAATGGCGCTTACAAGGGTGTTCTCACACAAAACACACAGTCACATTTTCCCCCAGCATTGCGCGACAACGCGCTCAATAACTGCTGATAACACAAACAATGGCGAAGCGATTGTAGCATATAGCAACAGTAACAGCGTTCAACAGCAATCAATAAACAATGATTTTGCTAATATACCGAAAACAATACACAAACAAGCTACAGCTCTACGCGCTGCGCTCTCTTTCCGCTTACTATCGGCCGCGGTAACTGGGCGCGCGCTCACTTTATTTTACAGCACACCGCGTTTAGTTTTGGTTGTTTATTTTCATTTCTTTGTTTAATTTCATGCCTGTAGTAAATATCTTGAGTACTGGCTGGTTTTTTTGTATTAATTTCCTAGGCGCGTGTACGTTGCGTGCCTACTTGTTGTAGGACTAGCAGCGCGATGACGCGTCCTCATGCGCCATGACGACATCTTTCTCTACGTAACTTTAACTACTGCGCGCTCTCCCAAATCTGAACGATTTGAGGTGTTATTTAAAGTTACGCATTTGCTACCGCGTCATAGCTTATATAAGATGTTTTTGTTTTCTAATGGCTTGTGTTGTTTTTAATTAATTTCCACGAATTTTCGTACATTTACCAGTACTGCGCAGGAAATGTGTACTACATAAATATTTACTACATATGTATATTTTGCGGTGCCCAAAACGCACTTGGGCATCAACGCAACAGCGCATGTACAGAACCGCGCACCGCCAAGTCACAACGCATACTGGTAACAACAATAACAAAGTTCCAGTAGCCCAACCTACGAACAGCCATATCATAAAATGCAAACGTTTTGCACTGTGGGTCGTTTGAAGGGATTATATAGAAAAAAATTGTCTTGATGAAAAAAATTTTCATAATCGAATATCTATCTCTACATCTGCACCATTTAGCAAGTTCACATACATTTTTTAATAATTCCGCATAGGTTAGTTTAGACCGCTGTGGTCGCCACACAGTCCTCACATATACTGATTGTCATTGTGATGCCTCCTGCGGAGAATATATCCACGATCTTCCCGAAAATAGTTTTATGATTTGTACAAATGCAAAGAGACCCGATTCCCGATTCTTAAGCCTATCAAATTTTCGAGAACTATCTGGGAAATTTTTCTGCCAAAGCTTGGCTTGTGTGACAAATGATGTAGTTATTGTTGAAGGCGGAAAGTCCATAGTCTTGCTGTTGGTGCGTCTCCGGAAGCTCACTCACCAAATTCTTCTTTGAAGGGTTCATGCCTAATCCTCGCGTTGTTCAACTGAGTATAGCTCCATTACTAATTTTGTCAAAGTCTGTAGTACCAATTGTCTGAAAAGAATTAAAAAATAAACGCTAACCTTTCGCAAATAATTGCTGCTAAAGATCTACATCACCCTTATAGCTTCGCAACAGAAAGCCCTTCTTTAAAATGTTCATTTAGAAGCGCTCTTCATTTTACCAAGTGATGTATGTAGATTTTTAAATGTATGACTGACTGATTTAAGAAATTTCCAACATTAAAAAAGAATTGAGTTTTACATTTATTTATTTTTTTAGTATTTAATAGATATTTTAAACTGCCTTAAAATATCCCAAATTTTTTTAGAAGTTTCCTAATATATTTTTCTTCGTAATTTAACTACTTTGCCCTACTGTGCGCTGTGGTAAACAAAAATACTTGTCAAACGGGGTGCGTACACTGTTGTGCCTTGTACAATTACGAATCAAACGAGAACAAGGAACGAGTCACATAAAAATACCAGCAGTTTCAGTAGGCACAATAACACGAGATTTTTATACACATTCACAGATACCTTGTATTTATGTATGTATCTACATATTTATAAATGCAATCACGCCTACAAACCACTGCTACAAATACTTAAGCACTAAAAGTGGAGCAACTGTGAAATAAAATAAGTATTTATTTGTATTCAATGCTCTGCGACAATTACACGAACACATAACAATGTAGCACGAGTACTGTAGAAGGCGAATTTTGAAAATAATTTTATTTATTTTTTATTAAAAAGTACTACATCCATTGCTATCGATGGAGCTTTTTATGAAATTTCAATGCCTAAAACAGCACTCGCCACAACAACAATAATAAACTCTGTACAGTGTCGCTAAAAAGCAGCACAAGCACGTGCTTCCCCACACACCGTGTGCCAAGAATAGCAGCTCATTTTGCCTCACGATTTTAAAAATATTTGTTCACGCCAGCAACATACTTATGTATGTATATGTGTATATGCATATGTTCATACATAAGTGCACACACATGTTAAAATCTAGCGTACAAATAGTTGTCGTCACCGCCACAACTGTACACTCCCACTTTTTTGAGGGGCTTCGTTCGGAATGATCGGGCCAATTCGTTTACACGTCAGCTCTCTTGTGGATGACTTTGCTTTAGCTGGTCGGTATCGTTCGAAATCAGCTTGAACTGGTTATTTCTTTGTTGGCAAATATGTACTACAAGCTTAAATTCATAGACCAGATACGAAATACATAAGTACCCTGCAGTGAAAACACAAACCAATCAGTAAACATACCAGTTCATTTACCAGTAAATATAAGCTAAACCGATGGCCCACCAGCTCGACAATTTCGAACTACTTATGCGATCAGCCTTAGGATTTTAGCTGGAGCGGAGCTGGAGCAAAGAGCTAAAAAATAGTTTGCTCCTCAGCTTCTAAAAAAAAAAATCTTGATGTATTTTGTTTTTGTTATTTTTTTCCTAGTAACAATTTATTTGAAATGTTTTTATTTTTGTTTTTCAACAAAAATTTTCAATAATAACGGCCTCCAGCCGTATCAGTTAATAAATTTACCTAAATTATAATTTTCTGCCACTGAAAATAGCCGTGTTAAATAAACTTTCATTCTATTTAATTAACTTGGATATTTTTTTTAGTTTTTTTTAGATGCAAAAGTGTATAAATATGTATATCTAAATGCATTTCTGCATCAAAAAGAACATTTTCAAAAAATGTCGATATGTAAATAAATAAATAAAATGTGTTTTATTGAGAGCGGGAGTGGAGTAAGAGCGGAGCTCGGAGCGAAATAAAATACCGGAGCGGAGCTGTTTTTGGTAAAAAAATTTTTTCGGGAAACATTACGAATATTTAAAAAAAAAATAAGCACCATAAAAATTTAACGAAATAAAAAAATACATATATCTATTTTTCTTTTCAAAAAATTTAATTTTATTAAATATAAAAATTATTACAAAAAATCTAAATAAAAAAAAAAAATTTGATTAAAAACAATAAATTCCCTGCCCAACTACTGTAACCTCGGACCTCAGGAATGACATGCTAGTGCCTTGCATATCGGCCAATGCGACTGTTAGAGCGCCGCGAGCAAAATGACATTCATACTTTTTACTTTCAAAGGGCATGCATTGGCCTACTATCCCATCAACTGGTATGATGCTGCTAGTATTTCTACTTGTAGATGCTGATGCATTGCCAGATAATTGACATCTCGTAGGTCATCGCTATGTTCAAAAAATACCAGTCGCTAACATTGAAAAAGGTTAGATCTGGAACTAGTTGGGCTGAAACGCAAACTGGTTGGTATGTAGCATTCTAGTTCACAACGGAGTAGCTTTCCCTGCAGGGGAGATAGTATGTACAATGTGTATGAATATGAATGCATGTGAGTGTGTTGTTTGTGAGCAAACTGAAAAACAACAAAATTTCAATAGGAACAAAGTAAAGATTAAATTTCCTGTCGTTATCACATTGACATTGATAAACAAATATGCGTGGATGGATGTATGTGTGTGTGTGTGTGTATACTTATGAAAGCTATGCAATGGCTGTTTGGAAAGCTTTGCCATAGCTCATATATAATCAAGTTTTTCTATCTTAATGACAGCATTAATGTACTTATGCACACATAAGTATGCACATACAAACATATTTATATTTGTTTATCTGCAGCCAATTTTCATAGACACATATGTAAGTATTTACATACATATTTTGTTTTTACAAATTTTACTTGCAATGCTGCTGTTGTTATTTTGTTTTTCATAAAATATAGCGCGTAATACCAACGCGTATGGCTGCTAGCAAAATAGTGCGCTGATGTACATACATAGGAGGTCAACTTAGCTGGTCGCTTCATAAAAAAAAGAAAATAGACTGTATTCTTTAACTCTCATGTGAAAGTGAGCAAATCGTTTTCAGTTAAAATTTAAACATACTTTTGAGTTATTTAGAAAGTACAGGCAATTTCTGTTTCTCACACTCTTTCTCTTTATGACAAGAGTAAACCACATGTGCATGCATACATGCATATAAATGTACATGCTATGTGTATAATCGATATATGTATTTATAAAAACACACTTGAGTGAAAAACTGCGAAAAAAAATTAAAGCGTTGTAAGTCAATAACTTTGCCAAAACTAAGGTTATTTCATGCTCTATTTAATAGGTTTGTAAATGAATTTCTCACCTGCGCATGTATGTATGTAAATTTTTTTAAATATAAAAATGTATCACCTGTGCAAGTAAGGTTAAATTTTTTTACAAGTATCCGTTCAAAGACCTCTCGTAAGTAACAGACCTGTTTTATGTTAACAGACAAATATTTCAAAATAAGCAAGATTATTAAATATTTTAATTATTGGAAATCCCTTGAGGTCAACGTTTTTGGTGAAACGAAGATATAAAACAAAACTTAATAGGCGTAGTATAATTTTTTACTGAATGAGCAAAAAAAAAACAAATTTATTTTTGTTAAAACAAAAATATTGTTTATTTATATTTGGCCGTTAATTGAAAATTCTGTTGATATTTTTTTTGAGCTCAAGGCCGGGTTGAAATAAAACAATCTGTTTTTGTTGTTTTTAAATCGTCTATATTTCGACTTCAGTCTGAAGTCATCATCAGGAACATTCGGCTGCGCCTGGAGTCTACCAGGAGTCTACCACAACAAAAATAATAAAATATATGTACTAGCATATTTTTAAATTTCAATAACAAAGTACAAAGAAAATCAAAATTTAGGAGTTCCGTAGAAGAAACTTCTTCATGACCCAATGATCGGAACTAAACCAAAGTCCTAAGTTATGTTATGTTAGAAAAATATTTCAATTTGTTTGAAGTGGACTAAAAATTATTTTACAGAGAAACCTAATATTTATGAACTATAAAACAACCGGTTTGTTTTGCAGCTCTTCTATCTTTCTTCTATACTGGCAACGGATATAGGGTGATGCAGATCTTTGACGGAAATTATTTGTGATATGCAAGCGTTTATTTTTAATTTTTTTTTTCAGACAATTGGTATTACAGGCTTTGGCAAACTTAAAGCGCAGTTACCCACGGACGTAAAAACGGAGAAGCTGACACGATCTACCTTATTAGATCTGCGTGTTAACAAAACCTCTCCGCCGCATGACGGTAACGTAGATGTAGAGTCTCTCGCTTTCTATCAACCAAGGTGACCAACCGTATTCCTTTGGAAAGGAAAGTAATCCTTTTTTAAGGCATGTTCTCCTTTGCAAAGTGTCCTCCTCCTCGGAACTAATTCGGGATTTTCGAGACTTTTTGGGATTATCGGAATCTTGGGGTTTGCTTCGGGATTTATGGAATATTTTGGGATTTTCAGACTGTTTCGGGATACTCGGGACTAATTCGGGGATTTCGATGCTTTTTCGGGATTTTCGAAATCTTCATGACTATATTGGAATTTTTAGACTATTTCG